TCATTTTTCAGACAGAAAAATCTATAAAAATGGCTGTGAATGGTTTCCTATCATGACCTTTCTCTATCTTTAAATATTTCATACCATGTTATCATTGCACAGACACTATCAGAAATCTCTATCCCAAAATTTCAACAAAAATAAAAGTACATCATATTTCAGTACAATGTACTAAATTCCCAATTAAGTGTATGGAGAATTAAATGTCTGACTGATTTTAACAAATGATAATTACAGTACATCTGTTGGTTGACTTACTTCCTAACCGACGGAACAGATCCCTCATCACCTCTGGTTTATCAAAACTTGTTCTCATGTTAAACAGCACTTCTTTATTCTGTATCACCAGTTTCTGTAAAGTTTGAATTAAGATTAAAATACACAGACCTTCAGATTTGTATAATGACATTTCAGAAATGTAATATACCCTAAAAAATTGACACACGTACCCAACTAGACATAAACCAGTGGTGGTAAGATATGTTAAATTGGTGGTAAATATGAGTAGCCTCAGAGGTGTTGTTCACCTGAAAAGGGCCATTAATTCTTCGGAAACCTCAAATCCCCATAAAAAAAATGGTGAGGAAAATATTTGCCTTTTATCTATTTATTAATATACTGATATTTCACCTTTGACCTACCTTTAATTCTTCCACCTGACTTGCCACATGACCCATAAGTCTTTCTCCAAGATACCTCATTCCATACGGACCAATCAATTCAGCCAAAGCTCTCAGTTCTAAAATAAATTAAAGTCCATCCACGTAAATAAAACATAAAATTAGAAGCATATAGTATGTTCTTTAAAACTTGTCCAAATGATAATTAAGAGCCATTCTCTGTAACGACTTGAACTTTTATATAGGAGCTGTGGCACGCATAGTCTCAGAATTTCTCCAAACTCTCTATGATAAAAGTCTTTGATACCATAAACTGAAATCAGGCAGAAATTGGTTGCTACGTGTCATGGTTACCATGGCAACATGTCCTAAAGTTTGAAAAATGGCATTTTTCAACATGTTCAGAGTCCCACAGTTAACGTTTGCAGCAAAGCAAACAAGTGGCAATGATTGTTTCTGAAAGTTGTAGGCCTGATGTCTTAAATGCATGATAAACATGTTTGGTAAATCAACTATTACATATGTTACTATGGAAACAAAGTATTCAAAAGTAATAATTTTGCTCATTTAATTTTATAAAATCAAACACTTAAGAATAAAAAAAAATTATAGGTTGAAATGCAAGCAAATAATAGACAAAAGATCCTTGTAACATATACCAAGGAAGAAATATGATATTTCTTATAAGTTGGCAATGGTTGCCATGGTTTTAATACCAAGAAGGGATTTTAAATTTACTCTATTAGTGTTTAAATCTAATCCTATCTTTTTAAAAAGCATATTTTTATATAACTAATGATCAATTTTAAAAGACGTTCATGTGACCCTAATTTTCACATTTCAAAAAACTCAAATTCAATTCTTTAAATAGAGCGTTGCTATGGAAATAATCCGAAAAAATATGCATAAAAATCTGAAAAATATTCTGTTTCCTTGGATACGTACCCTTGTATGTAGATTCCCAAAACTTTTATGATTGATAATTATGAACAACTAACCTGACTTTCAATTTTGACTGCCACCTAATCTCTAACTGGATGCAAAAACCTGGCACATACGCTTTAATATTGATATAAAATTAACAAAATCGAACATTTTCCCTTCCTGGTTACCATAGCAACAGTGTTGTATTTTTCAACAAACGTTATCAATATATGATATTCAACTTTAGTTCTACCAGATAAGTACTATTCAAGGTGAGTCAAATAATACGTTTCTTGAATAAAAGGTAAGTAAATTCCTAATGCAGCAAAAAAATATCACTTTAAACAACTGGTACATTGTTTCCATGGTTACACTGCAAAGTAACAATTAATCCCATTTTTTCTTATGTTGTCGGTGTTGCAAGGTCCTAAGGATGTATATGTGCCAGTCATGAAATTTATTGTTTTTCCTGAAGATAGTAGCATTTACCCAATCTTAGCAACACATTTAGCATGGTAACACTGTGTTACCATGGCAACCATAAAAGTTATTTTTAGAATAATATTGCCAATACCTAATTACTTAAGGTCAAATATTTTTATTGTTTTTTCTTAGGTTGTTGATTGAGTTTGATCATTTAACACCTATCATTAGTGAATATTGAGCATTTTTCTGCATTTTTCAGCATCTAAAATGTATTCCAAATGTACCCATGGTTACCACTTACTTAGAGATAAATTCTAAATAGTTTCTTTATAGCATTAGTGGCAACAAGGTGTCAGGTTTTTGTGAGAATTGTTTGTTTGTTATTCTTAGTCTTTATTAAGGCTTAATAAAGATTCAAAGTAGCTGAAAATTTCAATTTTTCCAACTTTTCTGGCTGTTACCATGGCAACCAAGACACATAGCAACGAAATTTTATTTGATATATGTTTCTGGTGTCAAGTTGTAATAATGTGCAAAGTTTCATCAAAATCGGTGACCATGCGTGGCAAAGAAGTTTAAGTGGTTACAGAGAATCGCTATTAAAATTTGTTCACCTAACAGGAATTTGTAAATTCATGTTCATGTTAATGAAGGGTAAAATCTGCATGTAATTAACAGAGTGATCAAGGTACAATGTACATGTAAACGTGCCTGCAATAAAATAGATCCCCGAATGTCCTTGCTTAATGTGCATGAGTAGAGAAGACAATTTTCAAAGATGTAATGTATTTTCAACATATCAGCAACTAAGCACCTCCTATGACCTGAACCATGAAGCAAGGGAGTATAAATTTCACAATTTTAAGAAAAGGTTGAGCACTTATCATGCAAAAATTGAGCTTGCTTATTGTCCATCACTAAAGAAGATTTTCTAAGACTAAGGCATTTTCAATATATGACCAATTAAGCCCCACCTTGGAGTCTAAACCCTGAAGCCAGGGTATATGAATTTCACAATTTTGTAGGGGGCTCACCTATTTTATTCATGCTACCAACAGTTTGAATGTTTACTGTTCAGAAGTAAATAAGATTTTTGAAGACTGCATTGATTTGGATGGTTTTAGCCCCCTTACTCAGGCCCAAGGGAGGTAGAGATGGTGGAATTCACAATATTTGTTTCCCCTTTACCCATAAATTCCATTTAGTTGAAATTGGTTCAGTAGTTCCAGAGAAGAAACTGAAAATGTTCAAAAGTTTACAACCAACAGACAATGCACAACTCTGGATAAAAAAATATTAACAGATCACCTGAGTGACTCTGGTGACCTAAAATTTAATCTTTGACAGTTTAGACTCCTGTCATGACCCATACCTGTCAGATCAGCGTATTCCTCTGCGGCTAAATACAGGTTCTCTTTACTGTTGTTGTCTTGCGCCACTGTAACAAAAGCCTTGTGATTTGGGGAATATACAATGTGACCCATATTTACTGTCACTCTCCTCAGCAACACCTCCAAATACCTGTGCAAGTAAAACATTAAGAAAATCAAGGTTACATGTTTCATTTCATTAAAATTTATCAAATCTGTCAAATAATACTTCATTTATCAGTTAAGAATGAAAAAAAAATAATGAAAGGCATTACGAGTAACATTGGTACATGTACATTTACTTCTTGTAGAACATCTCTTCTTATAAATTTCTTGCACAGACATAAGTTGTGGGTTATAGATATTCAAGTAGATGAGTCATTTACTCAGTGAGGGGGGGGGGGGGGGCATTCTAGATCACATCCTTACCAGTTTGTGTAGTTTGCAGTGATAGTTTTCTCTCCATTAAAGCTGTCTGTGGCTTGTGTCTGCTGGGGTAATACACTATTGAACACTCTGGCAATATCAATCTGGACTGAAAGGGAAGAACAAAAACAAGAAATAATCTTTTTGCAAGGAAAAACAATTGTTTTTATAAAGTCTTCATGTTTTTGCAATACAATGGACTTGAAGCGTAATTTTGAAATTGAATTCATCATTAATGAGTTTCAAGGTTAATTAAACAATAGGATGCTTTCTTTGTTTGTTAGTATAGGAATTAATGTTGCAGCTGTTGCAGGAAAAATACATAACCCACGTAAGCGGGTAAGCATACTAACAAACAAAGAAAGACATTTTATTGTGTATATTTATATCTGTACAAAAAATCATTTAAAGTAGGATTAAGTAGATTAAATATTGTATTTATGATATGTACATCCTTGTTTGTTTCATTGATGGAAGAGCCACTGCTCAAAAAATCTGTAGAGGATCGAGATATGCTTAGCTGTGTTTATACTGACTGATAAATGATAATGGTTTTCTTAAGAAATAAAGGATATAATATTCAGTGGATGTAAATATTAGATATTAATAAAATTACCATAATTTTCTAGACCCTGTAGCACACTCATGATAGCCTTGACACTGCTCAGTAGCTCAGAAGGTTTGGCAATTTCACTTGTATCTGGGTTATACATCATCATTCCCACTAATGCTCTGTAAATAAAAACATTTACGGTGAAGTCCCTAGTAATCTGAATTTCATCAATCTGTTGATTCAGGTTCTGGACAATTTTTCTGGGGAACAATTTTTTTTAAAGTTATTTTGTCTCTATACATTCCTCAAATCGCTTCATTAATTTGTCAGATGACTTCATACAGATTGACAAAGACCCATAATCAGGCATTAAGCTGTGTAGTAATTCTAGGGTTACCATTATAAAAAGAATAAGAATTTATGCATTTACATGTTTTTGATCTTGCAAGTGTTAAAAAATAACTGTGTGTGTAATAAAAGCTGCTTAACAATATTAGTTGTATTAGATTTCAATGTGATAGATCACTTCAACTCTGGCTACCAAAATATGGCTACAAAGGCATGGTTTGCAGTTTTGACACTTAAGAAACTTGGCTTCTATGTAGAATCCTTAATTGATGTTAAGTCTTGGTCAAAGGTAATGTTGTTTACACATGTCACTAAACAGATACATGTATCACCTCTTTAGTGAGAGAGGCACCTAATTAGGCAAAGATCTTTGAATTTTGGAAGGAAAAATTTTGTTATTTATCCTTAAGCTGTATTGATAAGTGATAACAATATCATAAATTTTGAAAAAAATGGGATACACATTTATTTTCATGACAAAATGTTGCAAATTTAAAGCTTTGAAAATTGTCGTCACACACAAATTCCCCCATGGGAATTTTCAAGAGATGGCATGAATGTTAATGCTTGTATACATACATAATTGTGAATTTCATCCATGTTAGACAATCCCTAGGATTACTGAACACTCAAATACACTTAAAACCTGTGAATTTGATATATTGTGTGAAGCACATTTTTGCTCAACATATTTATTAAAAGATTGATTTGGTTGTTTAGTTATATAAATATTGCTAGCGTTTTGTTAGCGTTACAAACATATATTTATTCTACTTACTTGTCTTCTGCCAATGTTTTGTGTGAAGTCTTTTTAATTAATCTAACCAAATGATATGGAGATCAATGTTTTTTTTTTTTTTTTTTTTTTAAGAATCAGGATATAAATGAGATTTGAGCATGCTGAAAAAGGGAAATTTGTGGAGGGATTCATTATAAATTCTAATGTACATACATGTATCTTTTATTCAATTTGTATTAAAACCAACCTACCAGTTGAACACAATTTTGGAGGGAAAAGTCTTGAAAAACAACTAATAAAATGAAAATATTCATATAATTGACTATTGTTTATTTAACTGCTGTAATGCATAACCAATGGAATGGAAAATTTAATTTGCAAAATTGTGTATGTTTAAATTGATTGAGTTTTAGATTCAGTTATCTGGACAATTCATTTATCTGGAGAATATAGTCGAGAACTAAAGTGTAACAAGGCTCATCTGTCCATTACAAATCATACCCTTATAATGATGGAGAAGAAACTTCCCTGAAAATCAAACTGACCAAGGGAATTTTTTCTTGTATTTGATTACAAACCGTGTCCACAATTTTGAACATACTTGTTAAATCTAGTCTCCAGATGCTGAATAAAGAACTCTCTCGGTACAAAGCCATGCTCCCACACCTGAATCACGTTGCAGTAGTTGATAGCATAGCATAGTTCTGTCAAGGCCATGTGTAACTTGTCCATTCTGAAATAATTCAACAGCAATGGTAATGGCATTCAAAGACCAGTTTGATATGCATGAGATTTACTCATTAAATCTTCCCAAAACTCAATTTCTTAACCAAAGTCACTGTTCCTGATCTATTTTGCTAATTAATAATATTTTTTTTATTGTAATGAAGAAAACTATTATGCTAATTATCATAACATGTATTTTTTTGGTCACATAGATGTTGTCAGAGTGAAAAATATGCAAAGTAATGTTACTTCTAACTAAGCTGAAAGAAGATAACTTATATGTACATATATTTTTCAAATGTGATCCTTTTAGCCAAAATTCTATTAAAGGCATTGAATTAAAGAATGTTAATTTGACATATATTAATTAAAAGTTGCTGACATTGGCAATCAGAGAAATTTTGCTTTCATCTTTTGTTTTTTAAAGTTTATAAAGCCTCCTGTTTTAGTCGTCAAAGCTGTCAAATACAGACATTTATGTGTAGTCAGTTATTACTTACAGATTAAGCATTATTGACAATAAATTACAAGCTACTGTGTATCTCTTTTTTCTTGATTATGCATAATTATCAGAACTCCTAATGGAGACAATTTGCTTTTTAAAACTTATTTTGAAGTGCTTTATTAGTAGCAATTCTTACATACTTTGATGTCCTACAACAGATAAACTCAGGTTTAAACAAGAGACCTGAAGGTCATTGTGTTCAAGTAACTTTCATTAACATTCAGCAATTGGTACATGTAAATCTTTTATATACTGATATACAGTGTATGGTGTGTTCAAATATACATGTATGTATCTTGCAACACTCAGGTAGTTTTGTATATCTCAGACGAGATAATTAAATCTATGGTGTACATCTTGAATTTCAATCATGGCTTTTAGACCTTGTTACATGTACATACTGCACATGCATATACAATGCTAAAATGTGCGTAAAATGTTTCTTTTTTTTTTTTGGCACGAAACAATTTTGTGTTAAGTATGATGACCAAAGGTACAACTAAATAAAAACTAGAAATGTGTTTATAGGACACAAATGCAAAGTGGTGTTTAAGGTCATGGGAAGGTCAAAGTCATAAGGAAGGTCAGCATAAAAAAATTATGATGGTGTTTAATTGTTCTATCCAATATGCAACTACCATTAAGTTTGATTAAAATACGTTGAAAAGTGAGGTTATGGTCTGGGAAGGTCAAGGTCAAAAAATCATGCAAATTGAATAGTTCCAATCAATATGTATCAGTGTATGAGTTTTGATCTGTCTGATTAAAACCAGCCCCCCTTCTCCTTTCAGTCGACGGGTGAAAGGAGAAGGGGGGCTGGTTTTAATCAGACTGAGTTTTGATGAAAACATAATGAAAAATTTATTCTTACATCTTCTAAATGCAAAATAATTAATAGTGAGGTCAAGGTCAAAGGGAAAGTCAAGGTCAGAAAATTTTGACACAGTTGAATAGTACTCACCAATTTGTATCATTGTATGAAGTTTGATGAAAATATCTTAAACAATTTCTTTGAAACTAAGATAAATGCAAAATGAGGAATAGTGGGGTCAAGGTCATACAGAATGTCAGGGTCAAGAAAACAATGATACAGTTGAATAGGTCCAATAATGTATCAGTGTAAGTGACTTATAAATAATATCTTGAATATTTACAGAGAAAGTGAGCTAAATGCCAAATAAAGATTAGTTAGGTCAAGGTCACAGGAAGATCAAGGTCAGAAAATTATGAAACAGTTGAACAGCTCCCACCAGTATGTATCAGTGTATGGGTTTTTAATAAAAACATCTTGAATTATTAGTTACTTTGAGAACTGGGCTAAACATAAAATAGGGATTAGTATGGTCAAGGTCACAGGAAAGGTCAAGGTAAAAAAGTTATAGTGCAGTTCAATAGTTTGCAGCTATATGCATCAGTGTATGAATTTGGGTTTAAATATCTTGAACAGTTTCTTTGAAATTGAGCAAAATGCAAAGTGTGACAGATGGAGAGATGGACATGACAAACACTTTATGTCACAGCCATACATGTATTCATGGTAGGGCATAAAAAGCAAGCCACAGAGTGGCAATAATGTTTTTCCATACAAACAGCACTATCAGTTACATATTTAAATCTATATGGATTTCTTACAAATATTAATTCATAAATCATTTACACACATGCATACTGGTTTCAGGTGCACCTACATGTATTTACATATTATTTTAGTTCATGTTATGCCATATAGGTGTTTCTTTTCACTTTCTCCTGATGATAAAGAGACCATTTAGTCACACAAAGACAAAAGTTAAACAAAATGAAGCATCTCCAATCTAAGGGAATGTTTGCTGTACACACACTTTACAAAGATGATTAAACATGTGAATGAACAACTGTCAAGTACTTGCTCTCTAATATTATTCTGAGGATGATATGACTCAGAATTGTATGCATACCTTGTAGTTTTTCTCAGTTTATACAAGAAGCTAGATTTCAACCTTCTGTACACTGTACATTAAAATCAGAAAAGTACCCATACCTTGTAAAGTTTTCCCGGTTTTTACGAGCACTCTCCATCCCTGGTTTCTCCTCCTCTGGACCTTGGTTTTTCTTCTTATCCTGTTTTTTCTTATGTTTGTTGGAGCTCTGCAGGATACTGGCAGCACTGTGTTTTGGCAAAAGCTACAACAAACAAAATTGCATACTCCTATCATATCCATCACAGTCATCAATAACATTTTTTGGCACAACCCTTTGTTCTCCTTTATTATTTATGAAACTTCATTGGTTGCAAAATGTCCAAAGAAAACCAACTCCACACACAGGACAACATCTTTAAAATTCACTAATCAAAACTAATACACTGTACTGGTAAAATTAATGTACTTGTAATTCTACAACTTTACCCAAAGATATAACTTTATCATCAGAACATTGTTTACACCTAAGGTCCTGTTACCTTATAGTTCAGCATGCACTGTTCTTCACAGATAGCAGTAATGACCTGGTTAATTACCTTATAGTTCAGCATGCACTGTTCTTCACAGATAGCAGTAATGACCTGGTTAATTACCTTATAGTTCAGCATGCACTGTTCTTCACAGATAGTAGTAATGACCTGGTTAATTACCTTATAGTTCAGCATGCACTGTTCTTCACAGATAGCAGTAATGACCTGGTTAGTTACCTTATAGTTCAGCATGCACTGTTCTTCACAGATAGCAGTAATGACCTGGTTAATTACCTTATAGTTCAGCATGCACTGTTCCTCACAGATAGCAGTGATGACCTGGTTAACTTCATCAGACATTTCCTTCAGGAACCAGTGAGCATACTGAACACTGGTGGTGCCAATGGAATGGCGCTATTGAAAAAAAAAACAACAACAAGTGTTTAAATTCAAAACATCACATCATAAAGTCAAGACAATAGATTATGTAACAATTAGTTATGCCAATCTTCTTATCTCTATGTAGCTGATATTTTGTATCAGTTCTATAAATTATTCTGTTTGCCAAGTCAGCATCACTTCACTCACACAAGAGCACTATTTTTATATTTAGTTTAGAATTAACCTGAATTGATTTAATGCTGTAAATTATTTTATGTTCCTGAGAACTTATTTTCAGATAATTACTTGAAACTATCTGCTCGAGAAATTTTATTCTTGTGTATATTTGTATTCTCAAAGGCTATATGTACAATAATAACAATTCTTGCTTCAGTATCTCAAGAAAATAAGGTGTCGTGAAAATGTGGTGATATACAGTACATGTACCAACCTCTTCTGGGCAGAGTTCATGTGTGGCATTCATGAAATGTCCACATATGATAGGAAACACAATGCTGTAGCGGTGTTGTGCGGGGAACTCCATACACTGTTTAAACTGGTGCTCAAAAATCTGGGTGTAGAAGCTACAATAAGAAGAGCATAATTTAGTGATACTTAAAGAAATGTACTTATACTACAGTCAGTATTTTTGCTAGTTCTCACCAGTAGATTGAAAGATCTCCTGTCTCATTCAAGAGTTCATCCAGGTAGTCCACCATTTTAGTGTGATAGATGATCATGTTGAGGTGTTTTCCGAGGTCCTGATGGTCCCTCAGAACGAGGCCTGCACGGCTCACCCCAGTGTAAGCCTGTGTGGAGCAGAAATTTTTTTTAAAAAATGGTATTCAGAAACAAATGTTAAAACCCTGTGATTTGTTTTCAATCTAGTTTGATTATGTGTAAATATTATTTCCATGTCAGACACTTTTTTAAAACTTCCTAGCTAACCTGCAATCTGAACCAATCAAGTCTGATTCCACGCAAGTCAAAAACCTCATTAGCTTCAACTGAAAATTAAGAATCTTATATTTAATTCCTTATTTCTTCATAAAGAATATATAAGAATGATTTTATTTCTAAAAATTGTGCAATATCCTTGAAATGGAAATACACATACATGTAAGTATCTTAAAATAAAGGATATATTTTACAATCAGAAATTTATGACAGTTCCCTAATCAGACCTTGTTTGACAGATAATGCTGCTATGGTGTTGTACAGAGAAGATAAAATCACGGACTCATCCTCTGGGCAGTGGGCCAAGTTCTGTAACGAACACAAATAATTAGCTTACCTCATTATCAAGAGATAATTAATTAACAAAGATACATGTGAAAGATCATCACACAATGCATTCTGGAGGATGATGCTTATCAACCCTAGAAAGTAATATAATTATATAAACACAACATGTAAAAGAACCATTTTCAGCTAAGAGTTTTGATTGTGATTCTGATATTCTAATAAATACAAAAATAGAATGCATATCTTTACAAGGACTAAAGCCCTTGCAAAGTTTTGAGATAAATATACAGAAAGACTGATAAAAACACAACTCAAACATGCAGAGTTCCTTTGTGGAGTATGTCACTGAAAAAAAACATATCAATATAAAGTTCCTCTAAATTGTGGTATATCCAGAGAAAACCAGTAAACAGAGCACAGTACAACATGCTTATAGTGAAGTGACAGGGACCAACAATTTTGATTCATTATAAACATAATTCATCATCCATTCAGTTCACACCACATTTTAAAACTACAGGGAATGAAAATCACTTCACTGTAAGTGTAAATTCATTATAAGTGTATTTGCTATAACTGTATTTTACTGTATAATGAGCAATACAGATTTATTGAGTTTCTTTCTCTTTATATATACATGACTGTATAATTTAAAGCACCCAATATTTTTATACATTGTAATAATGACAAACTGCTAGAATATGGAGATATTCTGATTTTTTTTCTTTTGAAATCTGCAATATGATTTCATAAAATAAAATTACCAAAGTATCAGAGTAAACAGAAAGACAGTATATATATATGTATATGTATATTTGTAAATGGAATGCATTGCAAAAAAAAAATATGTTGTATTTCTTTAATAAACTCAGAATAACACATTAGTAAATGTTGGCAGCATGGATTAGTAAAACTGTAACATTTTCTGTAAAAATAAATAAATAATGCAGTGGCTAGATTCTTACTCCTTCTTTAGTTAGATCCTGTCATTCAAAAAAATAATGAATTAGTTTCATAGTGAGACCAGCATTTTATTCTACATTATATTGTGCATGTACAACAGCTGATTTAGAGAAATTAACAACTGAAATCAAACTAATTTGATCTACTTAAAACACAACATAAAAAACACTAATGTTCCTATTGAGTACAATTTTGTTTCGTTTTAGCTTTACCTGTATAAGTTGATTAAGCAGCACCGAGTCAAAACCAGCCAAATACTGTACATAATACCGCTGTACCACCTGGTTATATTTTCGAACCAAAGCTGCAAACAGGAAAAAAAAGACCTTTAGCTAGATTTACAAGTACTTTTTTTCAAACTAAAAATGCACATTCATGTATTAAAGGCATGGTCACAACTTAGTGTTTCTACATCGTATGCCACTTTTTCAGAAATTATAGCAAAATACTATATAAACATGTACATGTATATATACATGTATATATTCAAAATTTAGATGTAAGCCAGGGAGTCTTTGGAGCAATCAAGAAGCAGTCTGATCAATATTTCTAATTGTACATATTATACAACTTTTGCAAATTTTGACAGTTTGCATAAAGAATGTCACAACACCATGTTTTCCTTTCCCACTAAAGTAAGTATTTATAAATGTACCTTAATAATTATGAATTTGTACAGATTACAACTTTAAAGGTAAAACCTCACATTTCAATTCCTCCATGTTGAACAATAACTCTGGAAGTTGTCTGTCTACAAAGTCCTCTTGTGACAGTTTTACATTGTGTCTCTTAGATGGTGGATTATCAAAATGTCGCAGTAGCCAATGGATTTCATCTCGTGCCACGGCCAAACCTTGGAAGACATACAGTCCCTACAGTATCACAAACAAGAGAATTTAAATAGATCTTCCAGATAAAACACATTTGATTGTTTTTCCTTACATTTGATACTGTAAACATCTTTTTTTTTCCCAGAGTTATAATTCAGCGGAATCACAATTTCTGTTTTATACCCGGGTAGAAAATAACACAGAATTCTTGGATTGCCTTTGTAGGTCTTAAATGCAAGTAAAGTAGTGACAATTTTCTGTGGAAAATCTGTGACCACGAAAATAGCGTTAATTAATCCCATGCGGAAAAAGTACCTTTATAGTGCTTTACTGAGGTGTACTTTAACTTGAGATACCTTTGGTCCTAATAGTCCTGGCTGATCAGTGTAAATCAAGGCCAACTCTTTCAGAGCAGATCTCAGAAACTTTCTCCTTTCCCTGTGTATGCCAGGACTGAAAAGGAGACCAAACACAACACATGTACATTATCACTGCATTGTTTGTACAGTGTACATACAGTATAACCTGAAATGTGCTGAAAATTCGTTCCCTCTATATTAATTAAATTTATGTAAGTACATTTGGTATGATTGACATGTAATAATGCTGAAATACATAATATGGCATTTCTTTAGTAGTATGTCTTAAAATATGTCACAGCTTTGAAAACTCACTCCCACCCTACAGTATTAAATTTCTCCAGCCCAAAACTCTACACAGAACATAAAGCTTGAAAATTTCACCAACATAGATTTAAAATTAAAACAACTTAGAACTACTATTAACACAAAAACATGCAGTGTAGAATCTCGGTTGTAAAAGTTATTTGAAATCAACAGAAGACACTGCTCAGTTTATATTGGGGGCCATTAAAACACTTACGCTGACTGGAGAGCTTGATGTTGTAGATCTCTGACTTCTGTAATCCTCTTGGACATGTTGTGTCTAAAAATGTGTATACAACAGTCCCATCAAATCAATCCACTTAATAAAAGTGCTCAGTTAGTAGGTATATAAATCAGTTTTGTAATTGAAAAAGTACATTGGCATTAAGAAATCAATGTAACAACTGTCAGAAAATATGTACAATAGTCCAACGAATGAAAATACACTTTTACAAAAATCAGTCCCAAAATGTGTCCTGCACAATAAATAACTACAACTGGCCAGATAATAAATATTTAGTACATGTATATAGTGCATGTTATCAACATTAACAATTTCATTCATTTATTGTGTAATACAGATTATATAAATTATTTGTATGTACTATATTTATTCAATTAATATCAAGGTATAATTGATCACAGATGTCTTTTGCACGTGTAAAGTGCATACATGATTTTTCATTCCAGTTAGTATTTCTTGAAATGAAAAGTAGCACTGGTATGCCAAAAAATCTATAAATGAATTACCCCTTAAGACCCTCAAAGAATGAGGTGATATAACTGTGGATGTGTAGAACTTCATCTCGACAGAGCTGTACAATGTAGCCTGACTGTAGAGCTGTCTTCCAGAGGTCCCATAACTGAGCCTCCTGTAGGTACTGGTGACACAGCAGCATAGAGACTAAAAAACAGAGAGAAACAGTCTCAAATCACAGAGCAGCACAGAGACTGAAATAAAACATAGAGACATACATGTAGTCAAATCACACAGTAGCATAGAGACTGAAAAAATCCAAAACATAGAGACATAGTAAAATCACATAGCAGCATAGAAACTGGAAAAAAAAGAAAAAAGAGACACAATCATATCCCACGGCAGCATATAGACTGAAAAAACAAAACATAGAGACACAGTCAAGTCATACAGCAGCATAGAGACTAAGACTAACACATAGAGACACTGAGGTTGAAGTCACACTTCAGCATACAAAAAGAAAACAAAAACAAGAAAACCATACAGCACCACAGAGACTGGCAAATTTATTTTATGCATGTACTAGTTTTATTTCATGTAATTTAGACAATGTGATACTTACAAATAATCCATCTTTCCATGGCATCAACAGACAGATATTCACATTGCACCTAAGTAGTAAATAAAAACTTATGTTATTTCTGAGCAAAAACAGAATAAACTTTTTCACATTCATGTACATAGCTACAGCTATATTGCAATATGTAATATACCTGGTACAATTGTTCATTTATTTGAAGCTAATCATTTGTAATTCTACTAGTCAAGAAGGAAAAGTGTAAACAAACCTTAAGAAGTATTTGGAACCCAGACATATGTATCTGACCTTGAACAAGGCATTGAGATTCTTTTATTTTTATCTAATTATTGTATTCTATACATTTCAGTGACATATTTTTACTTTACTCCTTATATAAAAGTAAAACTAAGTATGGTCTTAAAGGTCGACAATTGAAATGTCACACCTACTGGTGCATAGGTGGACTTTGATTTTTCTCTGGACATCATCACTGCAACCATGAATATTAATTGTCAGTTGTAAAAAATAATTCCAGGGCTATGGAGAGATTTTATAATTTTTTTTTAAAAAAATATGGAACACCTTACCATGTCAGTGTTTGGAACATTCATGATTTTGGGTGGCTCTGCCAATAAACTGAGGAAACCTGTAGCTCTCATTTGGTCAGCTGGGAGATTCCTCTTTGGGTAAATCTTGTGTAGAGACATGATGGCTGGAACCAACACCTAACCATAACAGAGAATACAATAAAACTGGATATCTGTACCTTGAGTTTGAATGGAATATTTAAAAAGAGGCTCATGGACCACAAGAATCACCTGAATAATTTAGAAATAATTAAAATAGGGCTAAGTATCAAAAATTCTCAAGAACCACCAAAACAAAACAGTTACTTATGTAAAAGCTTCTTCATGAATTTTTAATCATTTTTTTTTCTTCAAAATATGGCCTTCTGGGCAAGAGTCTGCTCAGAATAGGGGGTCAAAATCTTTCATATTAACTTGTAAGAACAACACAATAATAATATTAGCACATAAAGTTGAACTTGGTGATTAAGTGAAAATTCAAATTTGTACAAGTCATGCTCTCTGGGGCTAGGGTTGGGTCACAATAAAGAACCAAAGCTTAACATACTGTAGGGATATACTAGGTAAACTAAGTAATTTTGACATCTGACATCTTTGAGACTATCGGAAAATGTCAAGATGTCAATGGTGTTGACAAACTTTGTATAGAAAGCTCACTTAAAGTTCAGATGAGCTTTGAAAAAAAAAAATGGAGCTAATACGCCAAAAACATATTTAGTCGACTGATTTGGCTTACCCTGGAGTGAGGAACAAACTCCTCAGACAGTTTTCTGAGGGGGATATCATAGTCAATCACCATCTGTCCCAAACGAGGAAATGAGGGATCACTGTAAATGATTAAGTCATAATTAACTTAATTTATACAATCAAAAAACGTATCAAGTTTCAAATAAATAAAGACACAAACTACAAGTATATAAAGCAGCAATAACAAAAACATGGAGATTTACTCCTTTTCCTAAAAAAACTAGAAATATGTCCATAGGACATGAATGCCCCGCCAAGGGTATATTAGTAATGCAACATTTTAACACAAATTAAGAAAAGTGAGGTCAAGGTCAAAGGAAAGGTCAAGGTAAAAAAATATTGATGCAGTTGAATAGCTTACATCAGTATGTATCAGCATATGAAGTTTGACACTAATTTAAGAAATGTGAGGTCAAGGTCAAAGGAAAGGTCAAGGTCAAAAATTGTTGCTGCAGTTGAAAAGACTACATCAGTATGTATCAGCATATGAAGTTTGATAAAAATATTATGAATAGTTTCTTTAAAACTGCTTAACACTAATTTAAGAAAAGTGAGGTCAAGGTCAAAGGAAAGGTCAAGGTAAAAAAATATTGATGCAGTTGAATAGCTCTCATCAGTATGTATCAGCATATGAAGTTTGACACTTATTTAAGAAAAGTGAGGTCAAAGGAAAGGTCAAGGTCAAAAAATGTTGATGCAGTTGAATAGCTCTCATCAGTATGTATCAGCATATGAAGTTCGATAACACCATCTTGAATGGTATCTTTAAAACTGAGCTAAAAACTTATTAAAGAAAAGAGAGGTCAAGGTCAAAGGAAAGGTCAAGGTCAAAAATATTGATGCAGTTGAATAGCTCTAATCACAATGTATCAGCATACGAAGTTTGTTAAAAATATCTTAAATGGTTTCATTAAAACTGAGCTAAACACTAATTTAAGAAAAGTGAGGTCAAGGTCAAAGGAAAGGTCAAGGTCAAAAAATGTTGATGCAGTTGAATAGCTTACATCAGTATGTATCAACATATGAAGTTTGATTACACTATCTTGAATGGTATCTTTAAAACTGAGCTAAACACTACTTTAAGAAAAGTGAGGTCAAGGTCAAAAGAAAGGTCAAGGTCAAAAAATGCTGATGCAGTTGAATAGCTTACATCAGTATGTATCAACATATGAAGTTTGATTAAACTATCTTGAATGGTATCTTTAAAACTGAGCTAAACACTACTTTAAGAAAAGTGAGGTCAAGGTCAAAGGAAAGGTCAAGGTCAAAAAATGTTGATGCAGTTGAATAGCTCTCATCAGTATGTATCAGCATATGAAGTTCGATAACACCATCATGAATGGTATCTTTAAAACTGAGCTAAAACTTATTTAAGAAAAGTGAGGTCAAGGTCAAAGGAAAGGTCAAGGTCAAAAATATTGATGCAGTTGAATAGCTCTAATCACGATGTATCAGCATACGAAGTTTGTTAAAAATATCTTAAATGGTTTCATTAAAACTGAGCTAAACACTAATTTAAGAAAAGTGAGGTCAAGGTCAAAGGAAAGGTCAAGGTCAAAAAATGTTGATGCAGTTGAATAGCTTACATCAGTATGTATCAACATATGAAGTTTGATTACACTATCTTGAATGGTATCTTTAAAACTGAGCTAAACACTACTTTAAGAAAAGTGAGGTCAAGGTCAAAAGAAAGGTCAAGGTCAAAAAATGCTGATGCAGTTGAATAGCTTACATCAGTATGTATCAACATATGAAGTTTGATTAAACTATCTTGAATGGTATCTTTAAAACTGAGCTAAACACTACTTTAAGAAAAGTGAGGTCAAGGTCAAAGGAAAGGTCAAGGTCAAAAAATGTTGATGCAGTTGAATAGCTCTCATCAGTATGTATCAGCATATGAAGTTCGATAACACCATCATGAATGGTATCTTTAAAACTGAGCTAAAACTTATTTAAGAAAAGTGAGGTCAAGGTCAAAGGAAAGGTCAAGGTCAAAAATATTGATGCAGTTGAATAGCTCTAATCACGATGTATCAGCATACGAAGTTTGTTAAAAATATCTTAAATGGTTTCATTAAAACTGAGCTAAACACTAATTTAAGAAAAGTGAGGTCAAGGTCAAAGGAAAGGTCAAGGTCAAAAAATGTTGATGCAGTTGAATAGCTTACATCAGTATGTATCAACATATGAAGTTTGATTAAACTATCTTGAATGGTATCTTTAAAACTGAGCCAAACACTACTTTAAGAAAAGTGAGGTCAAGGTCAAAAGAAAGGTCAAGGTCAAAAAATGTTGATGCAGTTGAATAGCTTACATCAGTATGTATCAACATATGAAGTTGAATAGCTTACATCAGTATGTATCAACATATGAAGTTTGATTAAACTATCTTGAATGGTATCTTAAAAAATTGAGCTAAACACTACTTTAAGAAAAGTGAGGTCAAGGTCAAAGGAAAGGTCAAGGTCAAAAAATGTTGATGCAGTTGCATAGCTCTCATCAATATCTATCAGCACATGAAGTTTGATAAAAATATCTTGTGTAGTTTCTTTGAAACTGAGCTTTGAACAGAGCTAAATGCAAAGTATGACGGAAGGACAGACAGAAGGACGGAAGGACGGAAGGACAGAAGGACGGAAGGACGGAAGACGGACATGACAAACACTATATGCCCCGGCCATATTCATGGCGGGGCATAAAAAAAATTAAGATCAAATTCTTACAAGAAATATGTTGTCAACTTCACTAGCCAAGGGTTTACGATCCCCTACCCTCCTTGTGGATCACAAAACCCTTGGCTAGTGAAGATGGTATGTGTGATTGAATACATGTACTATACCTTGTTATCTTTTACAAAAAATAAGCCTCACGACAAAAAAAAATGGGAAAAACTTTGAATCAAAATTTCACTTCAAAATATCTACTTCTACATGTACATGTATGTAAAGTACTAAAGTCCATTGTTGATTTCCATAATACAATGCTCTGCCCCTCCCCCCCTTCAATTTTTTCATAAACAATATACAACAGAATGAAACATATTTCTATTCCCTTCCCCTATTTTTTCTTATACAGAACACCATTCAATGACATGCAGCTGCCCCCCCCCCCCCCTTTACCTTGAGGCATGGAGATATTCATAAGCCACATTATACAAAGACAGCACCACTCTTCTATCCTCCACACGGGATACCAGGATCATGATGGAGACATAGGTCGAAATTAGGTTCAGATAGTTCAGGGTCAGGTCATAGTTCAAGGTCTACCAAAGCATAAATATATCACATAACACAATTTTGTATTTCAGGTACAATTTTAATTTTGTATTCATGTTCTACTGCAAAATGCTGCAACAATCCTCTGTCAGTAAAATCTTCATGATCATTGATAATATTTTACATTAATCTATACCGTATTCAATTTAAAGTAAATAATTTAGCCTGGATGTGATGGACAGCAGAATGTCCATTTGGGACCTATCCCATAATATACTTGTAACTTTATTTACTTACAAGTTTTGTTCATTTGGGAGCTATCCCAACATATACTTGTAACTTTATTTACTTACAATGTCCATATGAACTTGACAGGCATCAATTGTAGTCAGCAAATCAACGACATGATCCTGAAAAAATAAAATGGTATGTAGGGTAACTTCTGGAATTTTTTTTTGCTTTGATAAAAGGGAAAACAAATTTTAATTAACATTTACTCAATTCTCTGGTAGGAACTTAACTCTTTTGCATCACAGATTTTTACAGATCAATTAAAAGAAAATTTAATGCAATTTTCTCAAAATTGTGCCATAGTTTCTGTAACTGACCAATACCTACCTTAAAGTCCATGATGTCCACAAAGGTGAAGTAGTACAGAGACAGGGACTTCACAACGTCTTGCTTGATGTTGTTGATCACTTGAAGCTACATGAAAATGCAAAATCGTGACACAAGAGTTTGTACATGCACAAAATATCTGGTTTCACAAACAACTATGTTAACCTTCCACAACACTTAACACACCTTCCAAATTAAACTTTAAAAATAACTTATCATATCTGGATGTTGCATTTATGATCATTATCTTATAATACATGTACAAGCAAAATGAAGTGAATACATCATAATTGTCAAGACGAAACACCTGATAATTTAGCATCCAAGAACATTCAGTGTATCCATGCAAATGTTCAAGTGCAAATTAGAAACAAAGAATTTATAAATTCAACATTAAGGAAAATAAATAACATTTTTTAACCATGTGTATTTTTTATGCAACATTATGTATAATATATTTAAAATGTTTCAAGCAGAGCAGAAAATGTATCAGTGTCAAAAAATAAGCATTTTCGTTTAAAATTATATTCATCAACTTAAACCTTCCTAGATCTTCAAAGTCAAAACTCTCTAAATTGACATTTACTTTCAATATGTTATTTGAAAGTAATGTAAGAGCCCCAACATAATCATGCCATATATCTAACCAAAGATGCAGTAAGAATTACAAGCAGAGGTTTTAATATTTCTGTTGCTTAACTTCCATGACTTTTTGCATGCAGACTGTTTAAACAGTGTTAGTTTTACAATTAATGATCCAAACTGCTAGATAATTATGCATTCTGAATGCCAAGTTTGAAGAATTATGATAAGGTTTGTAATTAATCTATGGGCAGCAAGAGAACTGGTGAAAATACTTGTAATGGTGAGAAAGTTAAAAGAGAAACTGAAGATGTCATTTGTACTTGTAAGTGTACATTTTAAGACGAGGAAAATTAACAGATCTACAGAATGGAACATGCTGCAGGCATCTTCGCACTTACAGCCCCAGCGTGGTTGTCAATGTTCGGAAATTTCTTGAGTAGATATTTGAAGGCTGACTCCAAACTTTTATCAGAGAGAAACGGTGGTTTGCTGTCTGTGTTTGTAAGCATCTTTAAATCAAAAAGAAATGTAAAAACCAAGTTAAAACACACTCTGAAAACCTTGCCGACTTACTGTGGTAGATTTGCTGTCTGGGTGTGGAAAGCGCCTCATTAGGTATCTGTAAACTGGTTCATAAGTTTTATCAGTAAGAAAACCTGGCTTGTTAGCGGGATTTCCAAGCATCTTAAAAAGACGAAAATATTCCAAGGTTATTTATTCATTTACACTCTGATAAATTATTAATTACACAAAATATTCTTGGATACATAGAATGAGAATACATGTACTACACAAAATAGATCTAACATTGTGATATTCTTTCAGTACGGTACCAACTAGTCCATATTCTGTAATTCAGTGACATTTTGCAGCAACTAGATCATAAAAATATGCACATTCAGCAAATAAATATATTATTAGATCATATAAAAAGAAAACTATGTTAAATCAATTAAATTCATATGTACAAATGGAAAAAAAGAATTCAAATATAAAGCATAAACCTGGTAGATTAAAAAAATATTTAAATATGGGAAGAATTTTCAAGGAATAAGGATTTAAATGCAAACTTTTGATAATATTGAATCGGGAATTTGGAAGCACCATTTGTATGTATATTGAGCAAGGGTTCACCCTGGGTGATTTGTTAAGCTTGGTTTTTATATGCACATACAGGATTTGAAGGAAAAGGGATGTGCACTGTCTGAAAATGACTGCAAACTTTTTTTCATGTGTAGGATTAAATCAAGTTTTTATACTGAAGTTTTTACTGAACACTCTCTGTCCTAAAAAATGGGATCACATTATTTTACAATTTTCGGATTAAAATATGAGTACATAGTTTTATTCATATTCTTTAAATAACTTTGAACTACTGTCAAAATTTATCACTCATGTTAAATGATTTTGAGAAAAGTAACTTTTTCCCACTAATATTATTTCACCACTGTGAAATTAATCAACTCATATGCATGCTGCTGTGACTTAAATTAGCAAATTCTGCAGCTTGTGTGAAACTCAAGTGTCAGCATATTTTCTTCTTTTAAATATTTGAAAATCTGAAATGAAGAATTAAAAAGTTCCACAAAAAAAATCCAATTAGTTCATGCAAGTAAACCAAAATGAGAGATAGAACCTTCTTTTTGTTGGTAGAGTATATCTGAAAATAAAAACATCACACAGAATAATGTATGACTGGACATGGTCTTCTACAAATGCAAATTAAATATCTTATCAATAATTTACATGGATATTTTTTTTTTCAAGCAATAAAAGTAGTTTTCTTTATATGAAAAAAAAAAACATTCATCTCAATAAAAGCACTTTCAGATGAATAAATCAACATAAATGAATGTTTTAGAGCAGTTTTATACACTTTGATGTTTACATGAAGCAAAATTGAAGGAAAAAAAATCAAGTACATGAGAAAGGAATATCAATTTTAATGCATGAATAAATAATGATAAAATAAAAAATGTAAACAGTCACATAAAAATAACTCAAGAAACTAATCACTGACTGGACACAGGAAGGACTTGATGCTAGTTAATGCAGAGCCATCACGGAAACTAGGACAGTTGTACTTACCGACATCTGCAATAGCAGGGGAGATAAGTCAGTATTAATTCTTAGCAAGTACCAAAAAATGCTTTATTTTTTTTTAAATATATATTTAGCACAAATTTCATTTACAACTTCAACAAGTAATGATTTGAAACTTTTTTAAAATTAATCTACCACAATGAAATGTTCACTTTCACTCAAAAAATTAGTTTAAATTATGTCCCCACAAACCTGTCAATTTTAAACCTGCATCTACAAAAATTGCACCCCTTCAATGAATTATAAAAGGTAATTTCTGCAGTCCAATTTTTGTGGAATATTGTGGTCCTTTCAAAATTGCCATAACAAATTATTAAATCAAATAAAAATGCAGACATTCAAATCCCATATATCTTTGGAATTCCAAATACTGAAAACACAGAAATGTAGAATGCAATGCTTGAAGGACCAAGTTGAAAAAAAAATGTGGAGAAATTATATCCATTATCATGATTATACATAGAAACACATGATTTTTGCAACTACTCTTTCAAAGGAACAAGTTTGAAATTTAGCTACACATGAGAGTTGTTATAATCTAAGCCATCTTGTGCCAATATATAACAAGTTGGGACCAATTGCCCAAATGCAGTATAATAACCTCTTCTGGGATATTATGTCCCAAATGGGATATAAATTTACAATGCAAAAAATGAAAATTTCTATTTTCTCTATATATTTCAGTAATCCTCATCAAGATATTTATAAAGGAATAACTTTTGGTTCTCAAGTTTTTCTGTATGCAACAGTTTAGGAGACTGATCCCTCAGAAGTTCCTAAACTTCTTGGGGATCAATCTAACAATTAACAAACTGCATTATTGCTGAAAAACTTGCTTGCTAAAAGTTATTCCTTTTGAAGTATTTTGATGTAGATTTATGATATTTACAGCCAACATCAAAAAATTCATTTTTTGCACTGTAATTTTTTATTCCATTTGGGATATTATATCCTAGACGGGTTATTATATCCGCAATTGGGCAGTTGGTCCCAACCTGTATAAGACTAACGTACTACTGTATAATATATATGATTTCCATATATAACTGAGGTGCTTTACCTTTCTCACGCCTGACGAATATTATTGTTTTGTGTACGAAATGATTAATGAATGTGATAAAAAGATTTTCTTGAGTCCAATATACTATTTATATGTAATTTTAGTTTCAAGCATAAATCAAACCAACTATAAATGCAATGTTTCGTTTTCTGTGTTTATGAATATTGTAGTTTTCCCAGAGAGACACAAAACACGGATATCTCCAGACAATACTATAAAGCACAATTAAGAGGAAATTCGAGACCAACTGACCACACCTTTTTGATGTTGTATATTCTTGTTAACATGCCCCTTCCTCTGTCATTTAAGATCGTCAACTTCTCCGCCAACTTTTGTTGGCTGGGTACCATCGCACGAGACATCTTGCCTTTTCTTAGTGTGTAAAAACAAATAAAAAATGTCACAGTGTTTTCATCCTCATTCAGTCATTGTATACTTCCTGCAAATTTCACTTCCGGTTGTTGACAGTCGAGGTCGGTCTAAAATAAGCAAAGGAAAGGAATATAAATAGGGTAATCTACTTTTACAAATTTGTCACCAATATTTTATTGTAAAATGCTCTTCCAAAATTTTCCGTACTAAATACAATAAAATGACATAATGAAAGCATTAATACTAATATTACTATTCATAATAATAAAGGAGCATGAACCCGATCTAATTTAGCGAAGAATCTTAAAATCAAAAGGAGATGGGCGAATTTACAAGGAGTGCAAAATGCCTACAGATTCAAAGGTTTTTAAAATAATATTTCACATGTGTATTCCATGTGTCCAGACCTTTCTTTGGGTTCCAACATTTTTTACCTTTCGGTCTTGACCTTTGAGTTTGACCTGCTTAAAAAAAAAACTTATCCTTGACCATAACTTTTGAATGGTGAGTGGTAGGACTTTCATATATCATACATGTTGCGTATTCCTTACGACGATGGGTGTTAGGACTCTCTTATATTAGATGTATATTCCTTGTGACAAGACTTTTCTTCACGTTTCAACATTTTTTACCTCATTGCCTTGACCTTGGAGTTTTACCTACATTTGGGAAAAAAAACTTTAACCTTATAACTTTTGAAAGGTTATTGCTACGGCTTTCATATTTCACCTATGCATTCAAAGTGACAAAGCCTTTCACTTGGTACTATTAAATTTTGACCTCATGACATTGACCTTTGAGTATGACCTACTTTTGGAAAAACTTTTACCTTGGCCATATTTTCTGAAAAGTTGGTACTAGGGCTATTACATATGTATATTTCACATTAGTATTCCTTGTGACAAGACCTTTCTTTTAGTGTCAACATTTTTGAACTCTTGACCTTGGATTTTTTGAAAATGTGAAAAAACTTTAACTTTGGTCGTAAGCTGCCATAGGGGAGCTTCAGTGTTTCACAAACACATCTTGGGACGTACGACCGTATTTAATTATGCTACTTCACAGACGAATATATATAATTGATTTCAATCTTTGTGAGATTGTTTCGAATGGAGATTTTACATAAAGTGTACGTTAATGTTAATGAAAATTTTGTTATACGTATATGAGATTTAATTTTTCACTTATTTATTTATTTATTTATTTATTTTTTTTGGTCGCATCGTAGGCATTTTGCTCGCCTTGTTCGTCCATCTTCTTACTTCCCTTTCATCCCTTTCACCCATAGAGAAGAAAGGATAGGAATAATAAATATATAAAAATTGGATAAGAAAGTGTGGACCTGATTTGATTTTGAATGAATTTGTAAAGAGGATCGAGTTCTCGTACGTACTCTCTTACCGACGTTAAGATTAATTAATAAAATTATTAATGCTGATAAGATACCACAAGCATGGAATCAGTCATTTATTTCTGTTCTTCATAAGTCAGACGATCCAAATAATTATAAGAATTAGGGGACGAACATTTGATTCTGAGGAGGGGGGGGGGGCAAATTTTTTCGAGTATTAATTTTTTTCATGCCAGCCAAGGACTGATTATTTATTTTCAAGATGATCAAGGACAGATTATTTATTTTCTTCTTCACTGAAAAAAGAGGAAAGGAAAGAAAACACTTAAAATCCAAAACTCTATTTCGTGGGGTGGGGTGGGGGGTAAGTCGCACTAGTCAAGGACAGTTATTTATTTTCAACTATTTCGAGGACAGATTATTTATTTCCAAAATCTCCCAGCCCCCTCCCTCTCAGAATCAAATGGTCGTCCCCTTACAAGTTTAGCAGTAAGAGTTTGGTGTTCTTTCCATTATTTTCAGTATAAATTATTGTATAGATATTACAGATTACAATTTTTTTTTTTCAAATCAGGAGAACTCAAACTTGTCAATAACTCTACAACATGCATATTTAGAAGACGAAAAGCTAGAGGGAAATAGAATTTGTTGACAAAATACTTGATGGTGTTATTCGTTCAAACACTTACACAGTATCTATAAATGATTTGAAATTTGAAAACAATTTGAAAAATTTTGAGAATATATATGCTTTCAGAGACATTGAAAATATCGAGGAAAAGGGCAATGGAAAATTGTCATTTTACAGCCAATTAATAAGTTCGCAAAATCCAAACAAACTGGAAATTAATTCAACCGTATTTAAAAATTTTCCATCTCCAAAAAGTTTCTTTTTTTTTTTTTTTTTTTTTTTTTTGACTCAGTTAAGAAGTGCCCACAAATTACAGACAGAGGTTGGCAGATATTGTAATCCAATTACCCCAAGTGACGAAAGATATTATATTAACTGTCATACTGTAGATGAAGACTTAATATTTTTTTTAATTTGCATGTCCTCTTTATAACCAACTGCGAAGTGATATTGTACACTTTTAAACAATACATGTATTTATTTTAAAAATTCTTAATCCAGCAGTTGTTAAATCAACAAGAAATATTTGTAACTTCAAACGTGATGCATTAAACAAAAGAAAATCTATGTGTCCAGGAGACATTGTCTGGAAAATAAATGGGACAAACAGAAAGTTAGTGGCAAATTCTGTGATTGTATTTGTTCTACAAAAACAATCTTTTTTTTTACTCTAGAGTCTCATTCTTTTTTCCTAGAGAGCTGGCATTGTCTAGAAATCATTGTGTGACAAACAACGGGATAACTTTAAAACATACACATCCAACTTTAGAACACGAAGCAAACAACAAAAATGTAGTTTTATTTCATTCTATCACATATTCAGTACATATGGTTTTATCTTGCCAATATGAATTCATTCACTTCAATAAGTTTACAGGACTTGACATTGATTTTACAATGATTAGAGTTACATGTGCCAGAAAACACATCTTGTTAGTGAAGTCATGTTATTACAAGGTCATTTTTTGATACCATACAGTAGAAAATAATGATATATCAATAAAAGTATACAGAATTTATGTAGACTCTTTAACTATCATATCAGATGATTTTAGATGACCTGCAGTTATTATAATACTTGTTCTTAACACTGGTTTCAGTTTACATCAAAATGTATGTATTTGGAATCTTCACATACAGCATTCACACTTTCTATTGTCCTTTTACTTAATGACTTAACAGAATAAAGAAAAAAAAACCTGACCATGATTAAAGAAAAAAGATTAAATTAAAATTTTTAAAATAAAAAAAAAAAAATCCTACAAAAGAAGGAAAAAGACGATTTTTAAAAAAATCTATTCAGAATTGCCATAAATGCAGTAATATATGCAGAGTAAAATTGACAGAAGAGCTACAAAAAGTTTAACATACCCCAACCATACCTTTTCCTCACAAAAAAAAAAAAAAACACTAGTATATATATATTGTATGTATACATGTTTGTACATGTAAGTGCAAATCCTTTTTAGTGAATCAATTATCAATGCAGAATTACACAGCTCCCGTAGTAGACATACAAAGCATTAACAACTTTGTACATGACAATGAAATAACAAAACATTCATACTCAGCATCTTAAAGAACAATACGATGTGACCTTTTTATTTATAATAACAACCTTATATAGCTAACAAATTAACATAAATAATCTAAACAGCTCTAACATGAGCACAAGAGCTGTTTAATTTACTAGTATTAGAATACATGTACAGATGACCAAGATAATTTTCAGACAAAGCTACCTTCTCTATCATGCAGCCAGTTCAAAAGCATTGATATTAAACATTAATAAATTTAAAATTTTATGAAATTAAATCTAATAATATTTCATTTCTCACCATTGAATAAATTACAGATTATATAAATATATTGCAACACTGGGTTTTGCGGGGGAAAAAAACCCCATCCAATTTAGATATGGAGCATAGAAAACATGATGCTATTTTCCAGCCTTAATTCATGTTAATCAAAATTTTCTATCATTCATATTTACAGAATTTACTTAAATGACTTATTTAAACATGCATAAATTGTGAAAATATTAAACAATACACATACTTTTCTTTAAAAATGTACTGGTGAAAAGAAATTGTTTTTAAAAAAGCCATGTCCTGATGAAGAAAATTTTTTTCCAAATCCCAAGATAAAAATAATTTTTTTTTTTTTTAGTTAAAGGTTCCTAAAGAAGAAAAAATAAGAGAAAGTTAAGGTGACTGAAATTGAAAATGGCCACTTCCTTTCTAAAACCACATTTACAAATGTACTCCTGATAATACAAAAATAATGTGTGAGAAAATAAATGCAGAGATATTGCACAATTATTAAACAAACAACCATTTCTGTCATTCTGAGGAAACTTTTAGCAGTACATAATATTACATACTAAATTAAAAAAAATGTTAAAGCTAATGTGAATGAAATATGATAAACCACACAATATATAACATCCAGAGGATTGAATTAAAAAGTTGGTTAAAACTTCAATGTGCTTAATTTTTGTACCCTGCTAAGAAATTTTCAGCAAGTACATAGAAGGTATATACTTAAATTTTTGTACAACATTTATGCAAAATTCATACTCTCAATTGGCACAAACATTAAATGTGTCACTATCATGTAAAATAAGTAAATATACATGTATGTATATATATATTTTTTTTACATTATTTATACAAAATGCACCTTTGTTCATAAATTTGACTGATCTCCATTGAATAAGGACTGTGGTCCACAAAGCTCGCCTGACTCACAAACATTAGTCACAGACATTTATAAACTTCTGGATAATGTTCATAAACTGACACATGTAATAACCTGGACAATCAGCAAGTGATTTTTCACCTGCTGAGTGCTCTTCCCATTTCTAAAATGTTTTATCTATAATGACTTGCCAACAAATGAACACATTGAAAAATAAAAATTGCATGAAATTAAAGAAATCAATGTCCCTAAAAACCTTTGATATTGCAATGAGCCAGAATCAGAGGCCAAAGTTATTTTGTGAAACAGGAAAGGAGGAAATGTATGGCTGGACCAGAAATCAAAACCATGACCCATGAATCACTAGTCAAGTTCTCTACCAACTGAGCTATCAAGGCCAATATCTACTGCCCAAACCATTACATTCCTCCCTCCTTAAATTGTATTTGCCCTCAAAAACACAACCCAAGTTCTTTTTGCCCCTGGCGGGACTTAAACCTGCAACTCCAGGGGTGGTCAACAGCACCAAATTATTTAACAGGAAAGGACAAAATGTATGGCAGGACTAGAAATCGAACCTGGGACTCCTGCATCACTAGTCAGGTGCTCTGATGACTGAGCTATCCTGGCTGATATCCACAGCCCCAACCATTACACTTGGAACTTTCCATTTTTTGGTAAAAATATAATATCAGTTCTTCAACTTAACTTAGTGATTTATGTCACACTGGCGAAAATATACTAAAGCTGTCATTTTCAAAAAAGAGCATAAATACCTGGTACATGAAAAATTAAGTCTATTCCAGCTGAAAGGAAAAATCTTGATCAGAAGAGCTTTATACTAAAGTCTTTGGCTACTTCGAGCTAACAATGCTAGTTTTGGAATCTGCTCATAGAGATGATATTAATGTACCTACACAATAAATCTGATATGTGACAAAATTCTTTAAGTGTTCAAGTAAGTTTGAAGAAATTTATATATAAAATTAAATCTATATATTCCTACCCAGTACATGGCACAAAGCTCACTTAATTTTATGGATGTTTCTGAGATTCAATTAGTCAGCTTAATATTAAATATTGTTGTAAGTATTTAAATCCTTCATAGTACAGAAATTTGTTATATGAATTTCTGACACCTAAGAAATGTAAGACTGCTGCATTACTGGTAATAACCCCCCCCCCCCCCAAATCCATTGACTTTAAACAATTGAAAAACATTCTTAACCAGACACATTGCACACACATCAATAAATAGAGTAGCTGGAACACACATCAACCATTGCTTCTTAGCTCCCTGATTCTTCCTACAGTATCATGGTTTCTCTCTACTCAGGTCCAAAGGTCATTTGTCCTGGTCCACCTTTCTTCATATAACGTCTAAAACTCTTGTACCTGGCACTCTCTGCTAGTTTTGCTTTCATTTCATCCTCTTTTTCTTTTTTCCATACCTATTATCATGTAAACATTTGTATTTTACGTGAAGTAGGTAAGTTTGCATAAACATAGTTTCAAAATTTCCTCTTCACCTTTGTAAATTTTATGGCTTGGCTAAATTCATTCACGTTATCATTTTTATTACCAAGAACTACAGCATCTAAAAGATACTAATTTATCTAAGTTATCTTCAGTATAGTAGATAAATATGACCCCTATTCTCAAATTTCAGCGTATGAATACTTCATCAAATCTAAATGAGTTTAACAAATTTTAATTACATGTAAACAAGTAATTTTGTATAAATACAGGGCAAACTGAACTAATACAGTTTTGAAATCACTCTTTTTTACTTTACAAAAAATATTCTGCATTATGCACCATGATGATTTCTTACATCAAACTTTTCTCTTTTCCAGAGCTCTTTCCTCATGTATTCATCTATATCTTCCTCTTTAGCTAACTGTAAAAAATACAAAACATACATGAGATACTGATAAAATCATAGCTATGCATTTCAATATACTACATGTAAAAACCACAGGGTCTAAGCCAATTGTGTCCAAGTCCTACATACAGTGTAAGACAGTATTGTATATTCATAGCTTTCAATTAAAAAATGGGCTTAGTCCTGTTTTAGTAAGCAACAGTAGCTTTTCCACACTTTTCAAAACATTCTACAAATAAGTACATGCATAAACATCATGCACCATAGTTTATATCTTTAAAAAGATCAATATAAAATTATTATTTAAAATTTCTGATAACTCTTATGTACATGTTTAAATTTGACTTCATTTATTAAAATTAAAAAAAAAATCAAATACAGTCAAACCTCATTATCTCAAACTCATTGGGACTGAGAAAAAACTTCGACATATCCAAGGGTTTGAGATATCGATTGTCAAATACTTAAGAAATACATGTACGTGGTTAGGACTTCCCAGTCACTTGGACACATCCTGGTATTCGAGATATCTGTGTTCGAGATACCGAAGTTCAACTGTAGTATACAAAGTAATTGTTGATACATGTACTAGATTCTGTAAATTATGTACTTATTAGTACTAATGGTGACAATCAAAACTATAAAGAAAGTTACAGATACTAATACAACTGCTTGTCTTTTCTAAAATAAGTTGAACATCTGTAAATAAAATGCTGTTAGATTAAGAAGGAAATTCACATCTTAAATTGTCAATCTATAGAACTGTAAAAAAAATGAAAATGTTAGACCTGTGTTTGTTTCTTAATTAATTATTTTCATAATAGGTAATGCAAACACTTTCATGTTATAACATGGTTGCATTGAACCAAATGATAATCATGCAGTCAAACTAAATCATGCACAATAGATTCATGCAAAAAATAAAATACAGTTAGGGTGAGTCAATAACTGTACATGTAATACTGTATACTTGGTATTTTCTGCAGATGGAAATTTTTGTGATTAGACCCCTGAAAGGTCGCAGATTAATTTTTGCTTTTCTATTTTCTGCAGTTGCATTAGAGATGTTACAAATTTGGCAGAACACTGCCATGTTTTATGTATTTTTAGATTCAATAACATGTTGTTCTTGTTCTCAGTGCATAGGAATTGAATCTTAAGTCAGTGTTTGTAAATTATTTTCAAATTACTTTTATTTCACACCTATATGCTTATCTTACTTTTTTTTTTATAATACATAGTAAGCAGTTATAAAATTATGATTAAATCAGGATGAGTCAATATATGCACCACTTAATATGTTTGGAAAAAAAAGATGATACACTCCAAGAATGCCTGAATAAATATTTGATGAAAATTTTGTGATTGTAATTTTGTGCATTTGTTCTATCCACAAAATACCACAAAAATTGTACAACTGCAGAAAATACCTGTTATCCATTAGTATACTATGTATACTATATATATATATATATATATATATATATATATATATATATATATATATATATATATATATATATATATATACATGTATATATATATATATATATATATATAAACAGCAGTGACAAAATGGGGAGATAACCCACTTTTTCAAACATATTTCAAGCAAGATATAAACAAGAAAGTTAAAAAGCAGACTTCATAAAAAAAAGTTTCGATAAGCCAGTGACATGCTTTGTTAGTAAATAAAACTTAAAGACAGTATATAATTGCAGAATATACTTGGTGGGTATTCTTTGCACACTTAGCATACATGTTTATCATTAATAATCTATGAACTACTAAAGATCATTAAACAACTATACAAATTAAATGTTAGAACATTGAAGTATCCCTCATGACATCCATCTTAAATAATAAAACCGGCACAATGGATGGACATGCTGACACATTGACATACTTACTGGGAATAAAACAGGGCTGGCCTACATGTCATAAGGACAAAAGATGTCATCATTATATAAGTCATCAGAATAATATCAGATTGATTTCATCAAAATAAGCTGGCAATGCAACATGCTGCATTCATTTCTCCATGCATTTGAAGGTTAAGTGAGTATGTTTTCTAGCAGAGAAATATTATGAGAGAAACAACATATTGAGCTCTGTATCAAATGTACAAATAAAGATTTCTTATATACATATTATCAGACAGTCAGGAAATAATACATTTAATAATTCAATTGTACTGGTTCTCTGTATAGTGTTATGTTTTCATCAGCTTTAAATGAAAGATGGACTAAACATTTCCACTATTCAATGAAATAAAGAACTTAATATTCACTTTCACTCCTACATCACTTTGTTTACAGTTAAAGGATTTTTGTTTTATTGCAACTATTTAGAGTTACTTCCCTTGAGAGCACACTTTTTTTCATGGAAGTTTGATATTACCCGGTATTATAGTCCTAATCTCATGAGATTTTTGGGAGCAATTTGTGAGTGTAAACAAATAATACAAAATCATAAAAAACTCACAATTTGTCTTTATTTTTCAGAATGATTAATGCCCCATTTAAAAAAAAAATGTTCCAATATCTCATTCTTCTTTTTAACAAGGATATCCAATGTTTAAAGATATTGAGCTGCCATGTTTCTACCATTACCTGATTGTCCCCGACTAGTTATCTTAGACTTAACTTGCTTCTAATATCAAAGTGTTCCAATACAACTGACATCCACAATCATAATAGCTAATAGTAGCTATTGATAATATCCCTAGTAATAATTAAACTCTATATGCTACTTGAATTAGCCTCCCTTTTACTTCAAGTTGTGAATAAGCATAAATTAGAATTAAATACTGGAGTTCAAGTAAGCAATTCAGTAAAATACGAAAATGCAATCACACAACAGTTTAAAAGAGTTTTAGCATGACTGTCCTAATAAATTTTATAGTCAATCTCAAAGTGTACTATATTTTCTGGATACCTACCTCCCATTGAGATCTGCTGGCTTTAAGGTATTTCTTTATGAGATATGTTTTTTCCTCCTCCCCGTATTCCTCCCGACAAATCCAGAATTTCCATGCCCACCGACACCACCATATAATGTACTGGACTAGATAGTACGGACTCAGTATCAACTGAATCCACAGTACGTCCTTAATGTTTGGTTTACTGTAGCCCCCTCTGTTGATAAAAATGTTCATTTTTCAGACATATTTAAATTTCAATCTATAATATGTTTTACATTTTAAGCAATTCTAAATTTAAGGTTAAAAATTTGAGTTTAAGAAGAAATGAGTTGCTACTTCTTTATTAATTTAGAGCATTTCGCTATCCTTTGATATAAATTAACATTTGTTAAGGTATAAAATGTACTGAAGCATTCAGAACAAATTATTCCATGATTATGAAATCAACCCATTCAAACCTGATGTCCATTTTCTCTTCTATCACTTTTTTGATAATTTCTTCTTCTTCATTTCTTATTTCTTCCTGCAACCCATATTTTGTAAATCTTCATCAAACATTTACATGAATTCCATCACATTCTCCAAACAGTATAGCAATGTGAAAATTCAGTAAAAAAAGACTAGTATTAAAGTACATCAATTTTATTAGTGTAAACATCCCCTTTCTCAGAAAAATTAGAATTTATTTTGTAACTAAATTCTTTACAAAAAATGAAGCTGAAAATGATATTCAAAGAAATTTAGTTATTTATACACATGTACAGGAAAAAATTGATTTTTTTTCAAAAAAAAACAAAAAACAACCCAACAGTGATCTGTCAATTTTAGACTTATCGCCTATGTACAGGTACACATGTACTTGCCTTGCTTCTCTTGTCTTTGCGATCTTTCTTTGAACTGATAAGACCCTCAGCCTTAGCTATACCCATAGCCTGGATTCTGTACTTGGGTTCCTTGCACAAGTAATTAATAGCTGTCTGGTAATTGTTCCAGGAACCCCAATACTGTAACAAAACCATGTTATCATGAAAATCAGGAAAATGAGTACCCTGACATTTCCAGCTGGACAAACAATTGAGAGTACTGGTCAGTGTACATGTTTAATAGTGTAAATAATATAGTATAAAAAAATAGTGTTGCTCTGACTGTTTGAAACCATTTTGTTATTCAGTCATATAGAAAGAATGAAATTAGTAACTACACCAATCTAATTAAAATTAGATGTTCCAAATCCGCTACCGCTTCTCAAACATCTAACAACATCCCATTCGGGGTCACGTCAGAGCGACCTTTCGATTATGAATAAACAAAAACTTTGGCCAATCAGATTCAACCTTCTGTATACAATTCTAAAATTAGTTCCACTGCTACATCTTTACATTACTGATGCTCAGTAGACTGTTTTACGTTGAATTAAAGTAATTTTGGTATAAATTGAATGTATAGTCCGCCAATCTGACATTCTTGCCTGAATAAAGCAAACGAAAATGCACAAACTACTATATATCCCGCACGTCACATTCATATATATAGCACGGTCTTTACCATGCATATTTTGTTTACTACGAAACCCCTCGGGCGTTTAGGTTTGGCAGTAAAAAAAGAAATACATCCGAACTATAAGCCAAGATTTCCGCGACGGCGATTTCATTGGGTGATCGAAAGGTCGCTCTGACGTGACCCCGAATGGGATGTTGTTAGATGTTTGAGAAGCGGTAGTGGATTTGGAACATCTAATTTTAATTAGATTGGCAACTACATGTACCTTTGAATAGAATGGGTTACCTGTATGACAGATATAATGGTTAAGGACACTGCTATTACTATCCTGATGTCAACTTTAGGAGCATATCTTCTGTAATATCTGTAGTAATTAGCCAAGTGTTCATCTACAATAGCAAACAAACAGGAAATCTATGTAAGAAATCATTTACAATTGTGTAATCCTCATACCACTATTATGTTGGCAGACCCTATAAAATATCCATAGCAGAGGACATTGGGACTTAAACAGAAAGAATACCACTGTCCAGACTGCATTTTTATAAATTTTTGCTAGATGGCACATTATGGACTGATTGGCTTGTTGGTCAAAACCCAAGATTCATGCATCAGTTCTAAAACTTCCATCACATATGATTTTAAGTTAAATTCAAAATTTGAAAATAGTGTGGTATAAAGACCACAAGGTGCTAAACAATTCACATATTTTGTTCTAAATTATGAATAATAAGCATTGACCAGTTAATGATCTTGCCTTGATTAATGATCATCCAGACTTATTACATAACTTACCTGGATTATCTAACATGTAGTTATAATCTGATCTTTGTTCATCATCCTTCAAAATCTGCATAAAATAAGAGTAAGGTCAGTATAGTAACATACAAGTTATCATAGAAGATTCCACTCAGATGAATACAAAAAAGACGATTTCTTTCTGTTCTCAAGGTTAAGGAAAAATAGGTACTCAAAATGAAAGTAAAATGAAATTATCATTGAGAGTGGAGTAGTGTCCTGGATTTGAGATTGCAATTTGCATATACATGTATGTAGATACATTGTACTATTTAAGAGCAATTCTACTATGGTTATTGCAATTATTTAAGAGATGCCTCAGCCATCATTTTCCAATAAATCACAAACATCATTAACATATTATTAATAAATTTAAATCGGTTTCCTCTAATTTTGACTGTGTTAACTTGGAAAAGGATGGAGGTATCATTTGATTGTAACACAAATAGGTAGGAAAAAATTACTTTGGGTTCAGATTACATCTCACTTTTTCCCTAATGCATGGGATACAAATGAATGAGGAGTAGCATTTGATTGTGACATCATTAGATGCTTTTGATGACATCCAAATCTAACTTCTGCATTTCTCTATCTATAAGTTTAAATATTCACCATAGCAGAATAGAAATAGTTTCCTTGTCATTGGAATTGTTATACCCCTCAGTCTCAAGATTTTGTTGGCAAATGAAAACCTTACCCATAGGGCTTGGATTTTATTTGGAAACAAACTCTTTCAATTATTGGCGTATATTCTCCAACAATTGCTCCGACACAGGAATTATTCCTAATATATATATACACCATTGATATTTTTCTGATTTATGAACTCGTACACACCTCATATGCATTTGCTATTTTCTGAAACATCTCTGTATGTTCTTTCTTCTTTTCCTGTCATTGTAAAATAAGAAACAATGTGATAAATAAATGTTTTTTTTTCTGCAGAAAACAGTTCCACTTTTTAAAATTTTGATTTCCCACAAAAACATTCAACAACTCTACTGCATAATAAGTTGAAAAACAAACCTCCGTCTTGGCAGCCATATCTGGATGCCATTTCCTGGCAAGTTTTCTGTAATTTTTGGTAATCTCACTCTACAATCAAAGAATTATTTCATATTACACAAATACATGTGTCATGTAGACTTCTGCAGAAAATATTAATCCACTCTAGATCAAATGAATGAAATGCATTTTTTTGCTAAAAATCTTTAACATTTGAAAATTCCTGTCTGACTTGTCAACAGAAGAGTATATATGTTAGTACTTACTTTAATAAATGCACTGATGTATGCAATGTCAAATTGTATATGTAATAGCTTATCAACCATATGTTTGCAAAGCAATCCACAGGAAATATTTCCAAGATAAATTACTTACTTTTGAAGCATCTCTTGTGACACCCAGAACTATTTAGAGAAAAAGGCATATGTTAGTACAATTACCCAGTACTGTATTCAATTAAACTACAAGAGGAATTGGACAAACTTAAGTCATACACCTTCCATGATCAAAAATATAAATAGTAATTGTCTAATTTTATCATAGGGAACCTAGAAAAATGTTAATTAATTTTTTTAATATTATATAGTACTCCATAAATTGCATGAATTAATGTAATAAACCTAATGAGGATTTCTCAATCAAGAAATTTTTATCATCGGATATCTTGAAAAACGTTTATTTTTTTAAATACCACATCTAATGAGGATTATTCCATATAGAATTTTATTTTAAAAGTGATCTAACGCACACGTCAACAAGTCATTGACATGCAGAGCCATGCGACAGGTGGGCAAATTGAATATTCGCCGATTGGGTTGTAATTCACAAAATCTTTCAATGAATCAATTGTTTCATCGTTACTTACTTTCATAACAGTTCTCCAGACCACAATATAAACCATCTAAAAATCCATATGAGGGAGAAACCAACAACAGAAGGAAAATTATCATTTTTGTTTCACAGATGTGTGCCATGTTGTCGTTTTATTTACATTACTTATAAGAAAAGACGAAACGAAAATATAGACTTAACTGAACCCGATGGAAATTGCTAAATACATTTTCCTGTATATTTTATATTATTTATTGATTCAATCTTTCGTCTATTTATATGTTGTTTGTTTGTTTGTATTTTATTTTTAATTCTCTCCTCATATTCCTACCTGGATGGCGATGAATAATCATATACTCATATCAAAGGTACTAAAATATACTTAAACTTTTAATTAATGAATATTATATGTATTATTGATCGAATGTTACAATAATAAAAAAAAACAATGAAAACGACAATCATTCTCAAAAAATGAATTCATTTAGTTTATTCAAGTTAATGATTACACAAATTTCTGGAAAAAATGTAGAAACTGGTAGCAAATTAACACTTAAATCAGGATATGATATTGTTTGAATTGTACACTACCGTGTCAAATGTGCATGTCGAATCATGATTGATAATACGCATTTTAAACCTTTCGATTCTGGTAAACTAGAAATTATATATACATCTTTAATACACTTGTGCTATAGATTAGTTGAATCTAGATTAGCTAATCTAGATGAAAGACATTTAAAAAAACAAAAACAAAACTCCACATGATCCTTTTGAGCCCCATGGAACTGCTGAGACAGACATGGCAACGGTAATTATTGTGGGAGAGAGAAAAAACAAACAAATAAAAAGGCCCATATTTACTTTGACTTTCACCTGATGAGCATCAAGAACTTTACAGCTTACTCTATAGCTCTTAGACTTGATCCACTCGGTTGTCGTGTTGATACTACAAATTTAGAGATCCTTAGGATAGCGAAACTTTATTTTTATCAGCAATTAAAGAACTTTACATATATTACCACAAGTAGAATTTGGTAGTTTCCTTCAGTCCAAATGAGAGAAAGAGAGAGAGAGAGAGAGATTTTTTACCGGGTGGTAAATTCCAGGCGAGGAAGGGGCTTATTTTGTACAGGTGTGAATGCCTTGAGGGCTAGCAGTCTACCTTTGGTCGTTTGTCTCCAAAATTCCAATACACAGGAAGAGATTTAATACACAGTAGAATACAAAAGAAGTCAAACTTTACCTGTGTTGGGATTTTGAGATGATTTTGAATTAGAAATAAAAAGTTGTAAATAAAGTTTAATCTCAATAATTTTTATCAATTTGTAATTGAATGTGTGTCAAAGCATCCCCATCCATTAAAAATATTATTATTCAAAGTATTTGTTGAGCTTTGAAAAAAATTATACCTAACTTTGATAAATATTATCATAAAGAATATCAGAATTACTTCAAATACTAAAGGTATGTGTGTATACATATTATTGAGATAAACATTCCATAGTAATACAGCTTCTCTATTGTTTATACCATGTGTGGTAAATATCAAAGGATCAAAAATTAATTTGAAGGTCACCACGAGTGCCAAAAATGGTATACAGGGTATACACAGGGACTAGTAAGTAAATGTCAATCAAGTTCTAGCACCCAATGATGTACCTTAATGCACTTGATTGACAGGGGTACACAGACCATGTATTTTTGAAGGCGATGCTTAAAATCTCTGCCTTTAAATCATTCACAGTTTATTGTTTTAGATCAATTTATGAATTTTATGAAACTCAAACTGTCGATTTAAATATATCTTGCATCTAGAGAAATGCTCTGAATGTGATCATGCTGCCTTAAGCAACTAATTTATGGATGGGTAATAAAGTATTATACAGTTTTGAGGCTTGTCGAATCGGATCTAGTGCTCGTTAAGAGGCATTAAGAGGCTGAGTGGTCATCACCATTTTTAGACATCATGTACCAGTTTTAACACCTACTGGAAAGAACTCTGTATAAAAATATAGGACTTCCCTCAGTAAATTATCTTCAGATACATGACTTAATTTTCCATTTCAAGAGGGGTCCGTCGTGTCTCCTTGGGGGGTGGGTTCCAAGGTCATTTTCCGTACTTTTACAGAGAATTTTAATAACACTTAAATTCCGGGGGAGGGTGGGGGTCTGAAGGAAATGCATATATAGCTACAACAGGAGCATCTTCTCTAATAAATAAAAGTTTATGGCTACAAAGTTTATATTTCATATTTTAGGTGGATCTGTTGAGAAATTAGTTGACCACAGCCACTTGGGGCATGGACCCCTTAATTTTTTTTTTTAAATCTGGGATCGACACACTATTTTCCCATTCATATTTTCATATGTTATCATTAATGTAACTTCTTCCTCTCAATGATCTACATGTATTTGGAAATAAGTAAGAAAAATGCATTGATCCTATGTATAAGGTCAGACGATACGTTCCTCAAATATCTGTTTTGTATACCTTCGAATTATGTGGAAAATATTCAAAATTTTAATTACCTTCTGATTTCTAAACTGGTTTCTAATTGTCTTTAAAAAATGAAACACCAAAAAATGTTTTTTGGCTAATTAAATTTTTTCCAAATGGATTTTATAGGAAAAACATCGTCTGGTATCTTGCACAAATGCCTGGTAAGGTACCTCAATTTTTTGTGAGTTAACATGTTAAAGTAGCGATACTTCAATGACAAAATCTTAGAAAAAAGATGTGTTTGTGAAACACTGATGCCCCCGTATGGCAAATTATAGCAAAGGTTAATTGTCTGAAATGCAAATAAAATATGTTGGTACCCAAAGTAAGGCCTTGTCTACAGGAATATGCCTGTGAAATATGAAAGCCCTAGCAGCAACCATTGAGTAGATATGGAAAAGCTTAACGTTTTTTCAAAAGTATGTCAAACATCAAGGTCAAGGTCAAATGGTCAAAATTAATGGTACCCAAAGAAAGGCCTTCTCACAAGAAATATACAGTTGAAATACGAAAGCAGAAGCACCAATCGTTCAAAAGTTATGACCAAGGTTAAAGTTTTTCTAAAGTAGGTCAAACTCCTAGGTCAAGGTCAAAAGGTCAAAGTTGTTGGTATCCAAAGAAAAGTCTTGTCACAAGGACTACATATGTGAAGAATGAAAACATATGTGAAGTATGAAAGCCCTAGCACTAATTGTTCAAAAGTTATGGCCAAAGATAAAGTTTTTTAAAGCAGGTCAAACTCCAAAGTCAAGGTAAAAGGTCAAAGTTGTTGGTATCCAAAGAAAAGTCTTGTCACAAGGATTACATATGTGAAGAATGAAAGCCCTAGCATCAACCCTTCAAAAGTTATGGCCAAGGATAAAGTTTTTCAAAAGTAGGCCAAACTCTTAGGTCAAGGTCAAAAGGTCAAAGTTGTTGGTATCCAAAGAAAGGTCTTGTCACAAGAATTACAAATGTGAAGTATGAAAGCCCTAGCACTAATTGTTCAAAAGTTATGGCCAAACTTAAAGTTATTCAAAAGTAGGCCAAACTCCAAGGTCAAGGTCAGAAGGTCAAAATTGTTGGCATCCAAAGAAAGGTCCTGTCACAAGGATTACATATGTGAAGAATGAAAGCCCTAGCACAACCGTTCAGAAGTTATGGCCACACAGTTCTCACAAGAAATATACAGGTGAAATACGAAAGCAGAAGCACCAACAGTTCAAAAGTTTAGATCAAGGTTAAAGTTTTTCAAAAGTAGGTCAAACTCCAAGGTCAAGGTCAAAGGGTCAACGTTGTTGGTATCTAAAGGAAAGTCTTGTCACAAGGATTACATATGTGAAGTATGAAAGCACTAGCACTAATTTTTCAAAAGTTATGGCCAAGGTTAAAGTTCGGTAAAATTTTGCAAAACTGGGTCAAATTCCAAGGTCAAAAGGTCAAATATGGTGGTACCCAAAGAAAGGTCTTGTCACAAGGAATACACATGTGAAATATGAAAGCCATAGCTCCAACCAATCAAAAGTTATGGAATTATTTTTATTTCGGGTGGTGGATGTGATCCACATTTCACAGATGAAAGATAATGTTTAACTTCTAGCATCTCAGTTCTTGAAGGACTTTTTTTTTAGAGTAGAGTCTTTCATTTTTCTAATTTGAATCTACAGTACAAAAGCCTTTTAAATAGTGGACAATGACAAAAAACAATTTTGATTTTTCACACAAGCAATTTGAAGTTGATATTAAAAAGATGCTTGGATTTCTGATTGACAATATCTATATAGTTTTTGGAGACCAAGTCTTCCAACTATCTATTTCCATTGGAATTGCGCCCCTTTATTAGCAGACCTATTTTTGTATTCATATGAATCAGAATTTATTCGAAAACTTCTACAGGAAAAGAAGTCTCTTGCTGTGGACTTTAATTCAACATTTAGATATATCGTTCTATTAACAATATTCATTTTCATGCCTATGTTGTTACGATATATTCCTTTAAACTCGAAGAAGATACCAAAGAATCTAAAACATCTGTTTCATATTGTTCTAAAAAGATGTTAATTGTAACCTCACAACACGAATTTATGATAAACATGATGAATTCAACTTTTATACCATTTTAATACCATTATCATCTGCATATGGAGTTTATGTCTCCCAGTTGATTCGATAAGCAAGAGCATGCTCTACGTACGACCAATTTTTAAAATGAGGCAAGGTATTGAAAAATAAGTTGATGAAACAAGAATATCAACAGTCTCGTTTAAAGTCTACATTTTGCAAATTCTATTGTCGATACATTGACCTTGTTTTCAAATACAATCTGAAAATGCAATCTGTCGTTAAGTCGAATGTTGACTGACGTTTTTCAAACAAATTGATAGGCCATTAATTTACACTGAATTGTTTACGAATTTTTTCCGTTTGCCCGATCACGACAAGGAGTACAGAGGATACTTACTCCTCCATGGCACCTTATCCCACCTTTGATGTTTTTTAGACATCCGTGTTTTCTCTGTTCCAACTTTGTATTGTTTCAATGTACTTTTGAGGTTGATTATTGTTCGTTCATTTTTTCCCTGTTGTTTGATCCTAATATGCTTTCGTACAAAGCCAGTAGTACACTTGTTTGTGAATTACATTTAATTCTCTTTAAAGATGATCAAAGCTGCTATATG